TTTTTTTATTTAATTTACTTTAGAAATATGAATTTTAATTAAAATTTAATTTTATTCAACATCCCCTCAAATTCTAATGACCCCAAATGATTTAATAGTTATGATTATCTTAATATATGGGACCGTTAATCGAGCCACCAGTTGCAGTGAAGCGTCCCCGACCACCTTCCGGCCGTCCTTGTCGAACCGATCACCCACCTTTATTCGAATGTTGAGCTATAGCCAACAACTATCAGTCAAATGATAGAAATACCCTCTCTTTTTAGAACACGTTACCGCCAATATGAGCATAATCTCGTCATTTCACGACTTAACCAACTGGCTGTGGCTTCGCAGCCTTTAATTAAGCACAGCTGACGTGTCCGGATGATGAAGAACTGTCGCCGTGACCGCTGACGTGTCCGGATGATGAAGAACTGTCGCCGTGGTGTATGATTACGGAAAATAGATGTGCGTTTATCAGTTGCTTTTTCTTGTCCTGGCCCTCCTGGGAACAGAAGAAAATAGAAGTGGAGGTAGAGTGTCTTCGAAGCAAAAAAAAAAAAAGGAAATGGTGGGGAGCAATTTTCTCTGATTCCTGCCCGGCTCCCTACTTCGATCATTTTGTCTCCTCTCTGAAACTAAAACTCATTCGGAATTCTCATTCTCGATCTCCTGCTTATCACAAAACCCTAGATCTCATCGGCCATGCCGGGACTCGTCTCCCCCCCGGACGTGGCGGAGCTCCGGATCACGGTGCCAGATCGTGTCAGCACCCGAAATAGAGAAAATGGGGATGATCCCGACCTCCGCAGCGCTAAAAGCCGTTCACCAGCGCCAAAGAAAGGGTTGTTGCCCTCCCCGTCATCATCGTCCCGCGCCAAGCCCGCACCGGAGAAGAACTCTTCCGGTGGCAAGCGGCGAGGATCTTCCATTCTGGAAAAGCCACTCCTCGATGAATCATCATTGGATAACCCTGATCTCGGGCCTTTCCTGCTCAAACTCGCGCGCGACACGATTGCCTCAGGCGAGGGACCGAATAAGGCCCTCGAATACGCGATCCGAGCGTGCAAGTCGTTCGAGCGTTGCGCTGTTGAGAGCGGGGAGCCGAGCCTGGAGTTGGCGATGAGCCTCCACGTGACTGCGGCGATATATTGCAGTCTTGGGCGGTATGATGAGGCGCTGCCGGTTATGGAGCGTGCCGTGACGGTACCAGACGTGTCACGTGGACCGGACCACGCACTCGCTGCCTTCTCCGGTTATATGCAGCTTGGGGACACACACTCCATACTTGGCCACATAGATCAATCCATCGATTGTTATTCCCGCGGCCTCGAGATTCAGATCCAAGCCCTAGGTGACTCGGATCCTAGAGTCGCCGAGACCTGCAGATACTTGGCCGAAGCCCACGTCCAAGCAATGCAGTTTGACAAGGCGGATAAGCTCTGTCAGAGAACCCTTGAGATCCACAGGGAGCATAGTGAACCGGCTTCCATCGAGGAGGCTGCAGATCGACGATTGATGGCTATTATCTGCGATGCTAAGGGTGACTATGACGAGGCCCTCGAGCATTTAGTGTTGGCCTCCATGGCTATGATTGCTAACGGCCATGAGGGTGAGGTTGCCTCCATAGACGTGAGCATTGGCAACACCTACCTTGCACTTGGTCGTTACGATGAGGCCGTCTTCTCTTATCAGAAGGCTCTTACCGTGTTCAAATCCACCAAAGGTGATAACCATCCAGCTGTTGCTTTGGTGTTCGTACGCCTTGCCGATCTTTATTACAGAACGGGGAAGCTCCGCGAGTCACGATCATATTGTGAAAATGCTCTTCGAATCTACGCCAAACCTGTTCCAGGGGCAGTGGCCGAAGACATTGCTGGAGGTTTAGCGGAAATCGCAAGCTTATATGAAGCGTTTGAGGAGCCTGAAGAGGCATTAAAGTTATTGCAGAGATCTTTGAAGTTGCTGGAAGATGTTCCAGGTCAATGGAGCTCTGTTGCTGGTATTGAAGCACAAATTGGAGTAATGTTTTATATTGTTGGCCGGTATGAGGAGTCAAGAAACTCCTTTGAAAGTGCTGTTGGGAAGCTGAGGGCAGTTGGTGAAAAGAAATCAGCATTTTTTGGAATGGTGCTAAACCAGATGGGGTTGTCCTGCATTCAATTATTTAAGATTGACGAGGCTGCAGGGCTGTTTGAAGAATCAAAAGCAATATTGGAGCAGGAATATGGGACGAGCCATCAGGACACTCTTGGTGTGTACACTAATCTTGCGGCTACCTATGATGCTATGGGAAGGTGACTCAAACTTCAACTGTTTTTCCATAATTTCATTTAAAAATCATTTTATATTTGTAAGGATGGTGGAACACTTAGGATAAAAAATTAAGCTCATTACGCTAGCCGAAGGGTACTTAGCAAATCTGATGCATAAACTGATGGGCAAGGGCCGCTACTTCTATGTTAAGAACTCAGATTTTTGTTTCACTTCCAATGTGGGATTAATATCCATTTTCATTGGAACTAGCGATCCCCCCCTTGCCTGAGAGCCCCTCACACTGATCATGACTCCTGCTGA